CCAACACACATTTCAGTTCAAACAACTTGTAAAAGTGCATGTAGTGCTATGACCCCTTTAAGAAAAAAATTATTTAAATATTCAGACATTAATATCAGTTCACAATTTTTGATAGTAGTTGTTATAAAAACGATTTATAATAATTAATAATTTCATTATTATGAACACACAAACCCATATTTCCATGCAGATGATTTTCAGTTTGAACAGCCAAAATATATTGTTACATTACACAATTATTTCTCAAGTTTTCACGTGAGTCTGTCTCCCTAGGACTCTTAATTGAAAGTATATATTTGTTCCATTGTTTCCCACTTCACATTTCCTTGGTTAAGGTTTATTTACTTTATGTGTCTAGTTAAGTTCTCACTGTCCTGTGTATTTCTGCTGCAGCCCTCTGTTTCCGTCTTTAATTGTCCGATCCTCTTGACTACGTGATGTTGAGCTGTTGCAGTTTCCTTTGTATAGTGTTTTCACCTGTTTATGGATTGCTTCACCTTGTTCATTTGAATAAAAGCTGCAATTAACCTAGATCCACACCTCAACTACTCTCCTTCCAGCACAAGTTAGAGATATTTTTGAGTACATAACCCAAAACCCTATGCTAACCTAACTACTTCTCAACAATAAAACAAGGAACAAGCGGATAAAAGAACAATCACAATATTTTATTCCAAAAATCTGAGGCCTGATATTAGTCTGTACGAGGACCAGACCAAAATTTAATCAAAGTCCCAATCGGCGTAACAATCTGGCACACGTTCAAAGTTTGTCACCAAAAGAAGCAACAGCTCGGTTGTGAAATGCCTTTAGCTTGGTGTGGCATTGGTGTGTCACAAATGCAACATGCTAAAGTTCACATTTATATTCTGAATGAGATGTGACCACATTCAAGGAGGTGTGGGTGGTTTTAGGTCATCAAAAACATCTATTATAAACACAATAATATCTCTTAATTTTCCAGATACAGGAACAGCTAAATAAATGAATATAATTAAATGTATAATAAATATAGTAAATAAAAGTACAGACACATTATAGACAGCAAAATCATCAAGATATTTTGAGAAACTAGCTTTGATCATAAAAGTATCAATCTCATCCAAAGGTTTAACTGAAAACAATCAGCATTTGTAAACAGACATTAAAAAGCACTTTATAATGACACACAGAGCTCATGAACGAGTGCCATTGGAAATCTCAGGAGTGAGAACAGGCTGACATCTTACTATTACTGATTAAAGCTATATAGGAATATTCTATATTGTTAAATCACAGAGTTTTACCGTTGATCCACTGTACAGCCTAAACCCAGGATAGAGAGGCTGAGTGAATGTGGTCTGAACTCTTTGGATGAGGGTCATTGTGTCAGAGACACCATAGAAGGACAGAGTTCCTGCTTTGTGATCCACATACACTCCTATTCTAGAGTATCTGGAGAAAACAGGCAGATCAGTCTCCATATCATTGTTCCTGAATGAGTATCTGGAAGAGGAGCAGAACAAACTCCAGGACTGATCATTATATCCAAACAAGCACTTAGTATCCGTTCCCTTGCGACTGATGTGTTTATATGACACTGATATACCCACATCACCGTTACACTCCACTTCCCAGTAACAGCATCCATGCACACTCTCTCCACACAGCACCTGATAATAAACATCAAATCTGTCCGGATGATCAGGATACCGCTGGACTGTGTCGGTGTATGTAGCCAATCTGTTCCTCTCCGACAGATGAATGTGTTTATTTACAGTGTTTGGATCAAATGTGAACTGATGAGAATCTGATGGAGATCAAATATATCAGAGTGATCAGGAAACATTTAAACATTAAGGTTTTTGTTTTAATGTAGCTGAATAGTTTATATCAAAATATTTAAAGGTCATTTACATTATGGTTGGTT